GTTATCTAGCCTATCCTTTTCCTTGTGACTATCATAAGTGTTTTGATTCTTGAATGTGAGTTCTGACATTCACCAAGTCTCTCAAGTTAAATTTCTACTCTCTTGAATGATTAGTTTGTGTGCTCCATTCCAGTTTTTATTTCCTCGATTTTCCATAGTGGAGTAATTAAATTTTTTCCTCATTGAGTATCATATTGTCAGCGTAATATTACGGCTTGCAAACCAGTGTCGGTCCCGTAATACTTCGCCAAAATTCTAGCGGCTTCCAGTCTTGCGGGAGAAAGCTGGTAGGCCTACATACAAGAGAATGGGTTTTGAGTGGTCAGTGAGTGCAGCATAAAAAAATCGTGCAGCATGCAGTGCATGAGAAAAAAAAAATTCCTATGTTTTTGGTTTACAACAGCGACTTTGCTGTGTATTTTCGTATGGTATTTATAGTTGTATTATCATTTTCTTGGTCACTTTTGATAGAATGAAACATACATTACAGAAATAGAGAGGATTTTGAATGATTTACAGACTAAAAGTACCGTGAAATTGAGCTCAAGGTAGCAGAAATGTTCAAGAGTAAACAAATCACGTTATGCGTCCAATACACGTCAACTGTTGGGTCAAATATGCTTTCACAAATGTGTTGATATTATTTATAGCATTTTTACAATAATGCAGTAGTCTGCATAACAGTAAATCTTCTATTTTCTGTGTGAAAAAAAATTCAAAATGGAAAGCAAGTGTAATATAAGAGGGGCCTGGAGATGTGAATAATGAACAGAAAAAAATGTTATTTTAGTGCTAAGAATGTTTGCATTGTTAATTCTGGACTGTATTTTGAATTTGGCCTTGAATTGTGTATGAAATTGGTCAAACTACCAATTTCTGATCACTTTATTGGGCAGTTTCTTCTACTCATTCGATAGAACAAAAGGAGTTCTAACGAAATAGCTATGAGTTTGGTCAACTGGAACATTGGAATTGGCTGAAAATAAGGCTCAAAGTGGGCAAAATCGCTGATGCGTAAATATCGCCGAGACCACTGACTTCACGAGAGCATAATTCCATAAGTTTTCCATCAAATTTTGTACTTTTGGTGTCTACCATTGGGAGAAGATTCTCTATCGTTTAACCCTTTGGGGGTTTCGGACGTACTAGTACGGTTTACGCACGGGTATTTGACGTAATAGTACGCATAAATTCTAGCGCCGTCAAATCTCGCGGGAAAAGGCTGGTAGGCCTAGATGTGAGAGAATGGGTCTTTGTGGTGGGTGTGCGCGGTAGAAAAAAAATCTGGGACTCAGTGGTGCATTGTGGGAATGCCATCTTAGTAAACAATGTCCACCATGCCTCGCGGTAAGAAGTTCCTCACTCCTCGGCGAATTGGGACACTTTTGTTCCCCATTGACAGTTCTAATACAGATGGAAGTGACAGTGAAGATGAGTTTCAAGGTTTTGGTGAGGTTTTGCCCGAAACTAATGACCATAATATCGGAAATAGTGAGGAAAAACCCAGACGACCTCACCCTTTTCCACCTTGGTGCTGGGCCATCTTGTTCCGTTCACTTGTCCCAGAATCAAAGAGGAAATCCTATTTTCCCAAATCCCAGGACTCAGATGTGAGCATTTGTGATGATAGTGATAGCGATTATGAGCTCAAGCTCTTCAAACTATTTCCCAGTAGTGATAGTGAAGTGCAATTCCCCATTTGAAGCGTCAGTATATACGACGTATGTGTGCTCTGGTAGTTTTGCCATATGCTTATTCCAAGGGGAAGGAGTGTACATCTCGGAGTACATCCCGTGGGCTGTACAACAGGAACAGATAGTGAAAATGACGATGATAGTGTTGCAGTTGGGTTTTGGAAAATGTGCATGGTGGTGGTAGTGGTGGTGCCGGCCGGGGAGGACAGCAGTGGGGCCCCATGCTGCCACCCACACTCCCCACCACGCCGCTGCCTCAGCTGATCTACAAACAAAGCCCTCCATCCCCCACCCACCCACCACACTAGTCTCCACAACCACAACCTCCACAACCACAACCACCTGTCATTGTCCAGTACCCACCAGCAGACCACCCCTGGGATTGGCAGGAAGCTGCCCAGTTTTTTTTCCAATCCCCCCCAGTTTGATGACAGCCAAAGTGGAATACGGCCATCTTATACACTTGGGAACAATGCCACTGAACTGGAATGTTTCCAGTTATTCTTTGACGAACCCCTGATGGAAAGTATTGTCATGGAAGCAAAAAATACTACGAGTACACTATGGCAAACACAATTTACTTTCACCAAAATCACGTCTACCCCAGTGGAAGGAGACAACCGTGGCTGAGATGTATCTTCTTTTCCACAATAATGCTTATCCCACATGTGTATAACCCACAGAGTGAAATCATACTGGCAACAGACCGCCTGATTGCAACCCAGCTTTCAGCGATATAATGCCAGTGAATCGATTTGTGCAATGTTACGTATGCTTCACTTCTCAGACAAAACCAGGGCCTGACAGAAACGAAGGTTTATGTGGATTAGGCATGTGTTTTGTGTATCTGAAAGAGAAATTCAATATGTATTTTTATCCCTTCAGGAAGCTTGTAATTGATGAGCCCTTTGATTCTGTTCAAAGGAAGACTCTCTTTCAAGCAGTACATACCAAGCAAGAGGAAACGTTTGGTATAAGTTGTTTGTGCTTTGTGTTTTATTACATTGGTCTGGTATTGGATATTATTGTGTACACTGGAATTTTATACATTGAAAAATTTCCAGGAAGTTTTTGGGCATCTCTGGTGATGTGGTTAGAACAATGATAGAACCTACCTTGGTAAGGGGCATATATTTAAATATGATAATGGTACACAAGCCCCTCACTCAGGATTTTTTGCGAGTGATCATGACAGATGTGTGTGGCACAGCACGTGCAAATTGGAAACATATGCCCAGGTTTGACGCTGGCACTCATGGAGGTGAGGTGCAGGCATTTGCTGCCAATGACATCATGGCATTTTGGTTTGGGAGGGCAAACGAGATGTCACACTGTTGTCATCAGTTCACCCTAATGAAAAAGGCAGACACTGGCAGGCAGCATAGAGAGAGCAATGAACCCTTCTAAAACCTGCAGCTGTGATTGATTGCACCTTCAATATGCGTTAAATGGACAAAATGTGACATGAGATTGGGTTTGCTGTTGTGTTCACAAGAGTTATAAGTGGTACATAAAACTCTTTTTCCATCTTCTGGACATTTCCATGCTCAATGCTTTTAATATGTATTTGGGTGAGGACCAGAAACAAATGGGCAATATGGCGAATTTTGTTTGTCTGTCATCAGACAAATAGTATTCAAGTACCTAGGAAGAACACCTGCAATAGACCGCCCACCAAATTTTCAACAACTTCCTTCTCGTTTGAAGCATAGTGATCACTTCCTGGTAAAACTGCCTGCTACTGCTTTCAAGAAAAAGGCTCAGAAGAGGTGTTACGTCTGTGCACATACAAGGAAATGCCCACAGCAATGCAGAGACACTCGTTTTATGTGTGAGGAATGTAAAACACCACTGTGCATGACACCATGTTTCAAAGATTTCCACAGGCTGCAGAACTTCTAGAAACATTCCCTGTGACTGTATATGTGTATATAAATATAGGGAAAAATTTGTAATAAACAACATTTCATATCGCTTGTTTGTGTAAATATTTTCTGTAAACAAAACAATGACAATAGTGTTTACGCCCTTATTGTGTAGTATTGAAAAAGAAATAATTTACAAAATACTGATCGTATTGGTCTCACAGGCCATAAAAGTTACTTGGAAAAAGAAAAATTAAAAAATAATAGAAAATAGTACATAATACAGTAAATAAAAGAATACCGGGTGACGGCAGTCGGCGATGTTGCCACATTGTTCCCCTTTTTTGTCAACTTCACGCCTCCATATCTCGGTAAGTATTGATGGTAAAAATTTTTTGTTTAGCCTATAATGTTTAGAAAAAAAAAAAAAATTTCATAAGAATTTTTTTTTTTTTTTTTTTTGAAATTTGGCCGACCCTGAGAACAAGTCTCTGAGAGGACCTGTCGACCCCCAAAGGGTTAATAAGAAAAAATAATTTTTTTTTTTTTTTTAAGTTCTTCGACACTGAGAGCAAGTCTGTGAGCAGGGGTTTTGACAGTGAAAAGGTTAAATGTCTGATGTAATGCCACGTGCATTTTTTTGCTGTTACACCATGGTTGTACTTGTTGAAGACTTTTGCATAGTCTGTATAAACTTTTTGCATTTTGCTCATCTTCCAGTGCATCCAGAATTGTCATAATGGCCCATGTTGCTCTGGGCTCTGCAGTTTTTGCGAATCCATGTTATTAGCAATCTTGCTTCTTAGAATTCTTTCCAAGGTTTTGCATATGTGGATTGTCAGTACTATTGGTCTATTGTTGTTTACCATTACTTTACTGACACCATTGTGGAGTGGAGCTATATTATGTGGTTTTTATTGATTTTGTGATAACCTCTGTGTCCAGCACCTTTTTCATGGCATATTTAAGGCACTTGATAGTGTTTTCTTGCAGGTTTTGATAAATGTGAAGTTCCATGAATCTGGACCTGGCACATAGTGCATGGGCATAGTATCAATGGTTTCTTCAAAGCTGAGTGGGATTAGGGACGAGTCAGAAACTAGAGAGATGTAGGCAGTCTCAAGTTTCATGCAGGAAAAGCTCATTTGGATTGCAAGTCTTTAGTCTGGGAAAATAGTTACGGAGGTTTTGTCTCTTCCCTCTTCTCCACACCCACCTGGCAAGGTGGGGCAGGAATAAGTTCCCACACCTGCCTCACAAGAAGCCAAGTACAGGGAGAAAACTAGAAATCAATGGAAGAGCTTGTCAAAAAAAATTGTCATTAATATACCGGTTATCACATTTATAACTTGCCTTACAAGATATGAAATATGCCTAGATAATGCTGGGTTATTTTGGTAGTATAGTACATTATATACTGTATAAATATAATTTTTTATAGGTATCGTGTGGAAAGTGCGGTGTTGGATTGGGCCATGAGTTTTTGAAGGATGGCCCTGACGGAAAGTCATCACGTTTCTGAATATTTTCACACACTCTCAAGTTTGTACCAAAACAAGGTAAGAATACAATACTGTGACCTTATACACCTACCATCCGACTTACGACCTGCTCGACTTACGACCACTCGACTTACGACAGTGTTTTTTATGTCAAATTTCTGGGAAATAAACAACTATTTGTGTTGTACACAGTGTTTATCCTAAACCTTACAGTATAAAATACAGTACTAACAGCATAAAAAGTAAAGTAAAACATGAAATACTAAAATAAAACAATAAAATAAAGTCATTACAAAAATGTTTTGTTGATATTCAGTAGTAAAGTTCGCCTTACGACCATTTCGACTTACGACCGGTTTCTTGGAACCGAACTCGGTCGTAAGTCGGATAGTAGGTGTATTAGATAACTATTAATGACATTGCATAGGAAGCCAACTGATATACAGTAGTATAGTAATCCTTCAAAATATCTGGGGCTACTTCAGCAAAAATTGGCACAAAGAGTAAAAGCTGTCATATGTAAACACACTGGAACTTCATTTTTGCATCTCATGCATTTCTTCTAATTTGTAATTTTTCTCATCCTAAATTATCTGTACAGTAGGGTCCTGCTTTACAGTGTTCCTCTAATATGGACATTTCAAATTATGACCAAAACTCGCTATATGGGTCCCCCCATTTGACTCTAATACGGTCACCATGCGCCACCGTTTGTTTACATTCTTTGTGAGCTCCATGTCTCTCCATTATGTCTGGAAACTTTCCAGATTTCGAGTGTTTTAATTAAAGTTATTTCATATAGTATACTGATAATTATACTTGAGTGTACCTGTACCTAAACATACTTAAACACTGTGCTGGTGTTCAGGTACACATTAAAATCACTGAGTGTCTTAGTAGTCTTGAAGATGTTAATAATAATAATATAAACACACTACATAGCATAAACATGATAAATACACCCCACAGTAGAATAAATGAAAATAAATATAAGATGTTTTTCCAGTTGGCTTGTCGGAGTGTCGGAAAGAATAATGTTTTCTCTAGTTCAACACCAAAGAAGATGTGTACTCAATAGTATTACTGGGGGTAACTGTAGAAAATTATTCCTTTTGTATGCCTTCACTCAGTGTCATTCCTTCTAAAAATGGTGAGTTACATGAGAATGGGAGTGTTGTTCTTCATTTATTCTACTGTACCAAAGTAGAGATAACTTGTGCATAATGTAAAGTGTTTGTATTATGGTATAAGCCTCACAGACATGGAAATGAACGTGTATCAACCACAACCAGATGTGTTTGTCTGCTTGTTTACAGACTCCGCGTCTCTGTCCTCTTTCATTTACTTGTTTTCTCTCTCGTTTATTTTTATCTCATTTACTAAGACTACAAATATTTTAAGGTGAGTACAGAGTGTACTGTATATGCATTTTATTGCTCTAGGGCGCTTTAAATGTCGAAGTATATTACATGTGGGTGGGGTGACCAGGGGGGCTATCATACCTCTCACACCTGACTTCCTAAAAATAAATACTACTTACCTCTCACCAGGCATTAAGACTATAAATATTTTAAGGTAATGAGTGTACTGTATGCATACAGCCTCTCTTCACTGAGCGACGTACTCGTTTACTGACGACTTGGACTTACAACGGGCTCTCTGACCAGTATACAAACCTAAATAATGTATATTAGAGCTAGTTTCCTCTATTCTGTTTATTACAATATACAGTACAGTGGAACCTCAAAAATCGAACCGCTCTCAACTCAACCAATTATGTAAGTGTATTTTCGTAAGTGCTTTTATAAGTGTATTTTTGAGGGTCTTAAATGGTCTAATCTAATTTACATTATTCCTGATGGGAATAAATTCGTTTGGTAGTGGCACTCGAACAGCCTTCTGGACCGAAGAAAGTTCGATATTTGAGGTTCCACTGTACACTATTGTACAAACATTTAAAATATACTAAAAATGTTATAAATGGTGTAAAGGTGACATTAAAACAATATCAAAGATGGTCGATGCAGACCCATTACCATTATTGTATGCTCCTTGCTTAGCAACAGATACGTTTACGGACGTGGTCTTAGGAACGGAACTCCGTCATTAAGTGAGGAGAGGCTGTATATGTTAGTGTAAACTTGTTATCTAGCATTTATATGAATTTATAAGTGGAAAAAAAAGGGCATTCTGCTTTATGGCGATGTCTGCTTTCCGGCAGTAGCCTGGAACTTAACCTGCCGTATAAGTGGAGCTCTGCTGTAGAGGACTGTTTGTTTGGTTTACATTTTACAAATCTGGCTAAGGTCTTCTCTTATCAGTAAAGGTTATTTCTTTTGCAATGAGGTTTTGCGTGCTTTCTGCATTGACTTGGTCAGTTTTCTTTTTCATAGGTCTGTTGTTATTCATTATTTGCAAGACTGTTAAAGTGTGAAAGTGTTGATTGATGAAAATTTTTTTTTCTTTTTGGGTCACCCTGCCTCAGTGGGAAATGGCTCTGACATTTAAAAAAAAAGTGTTAAACCAGTATGGGCCATTCAGAGTCAATTATTACTCTTCACCACTTACCACTAACTCAATCTTTGTTTCATCATAAACCTCTTTGTAATGAACTGTTTGACTCCATGCATGGAGCAGTGCTTTATAATTGGTAATACAGGTTGGCCATCACAAATCCAGCAATCAGTAATCTGGTTCCATCAGTAATTCGGCACTAATTTCTGCTAGCATAATTTCGAATTTCCAGGGTTGCCACACCAACCTGCCGCTACTGTTTCGTGGCTCTACTTGCTGCGTAAGTCATTCCAATTTCTTTTTCTCCATTTATTGTTATAACCTGCTCACTTTTAGCCCTAGCCATGGTTCCAATGAATAAAAGAAATGCTTCTCATTGTGTAAAGCATATACACTGCACATTATCCATAAAAGATAAGGTGGCTTTGAAGCCACTGTCAGTCACCATGAGGTCATCTTGATCAGATAAGCTGTGACTGGTAAATTTGGGCCTACATACGAGAGAATAGGTCTATGTGGTAAGTGTACACTAATATAAAAAATATCTTTTGGCACGCAGTGCATAATGAGGAAAATGAAACCATGTTTATAGTGTAAACCCTACTTTGCGATGTATTTTCGTATGGTTTGTTTGGTTGTATTCTTGTTTTTTTTTGCTCTCATTTGATAGAATGGAAGATATATTACAGAAGTAGATATAATTTTGATTGGTTTCATGCCGGAAAGTACCTTAAAATTGAGCTGAAAATAGTGGAAACGTTCGATTTTTGCCGATGTTCAAGAGTAAACAAATAATGTCACCATCCAATATGTGTCCAGCTGGCCGGTCTATAAGAGGGGCCTGGAGATGTGACTAAATTTGGGCCTACATATGAGAGAGTAGGTCTGTGTGGTAAGTGTGCACTATGTAAAAAAAATCCTGCAGTACACAGTGCATAATGAGAAAAAACGGCAACTGTGCTTTTGGTGTAAAGCGGTGATTTTGTGGTGTATTTTCGTACGGTTTGTATGGTTGTTATTCTCGTTTTTTTGGTCTCATTTGATAGAATGGAAAATGTATTACAGAAATAATTTTGATTGGTGTCACGCTGGAAAGTACCTTAACCCTTTGAGAGTCAAGACCCCCGATCCTTAACCCTGTCAGGGTCCGTCCCGTAGATCTACGGCTTTATGTTCAGGGTCCAAACCGTAGATCTACGCCATGAGCTCAGCTCACTCTGATAAACTGTGAGTGGTACATTTTGGCCTAGATATGAGAGAATACATCTATGTGGTATGTGTGCACCACATAAAACAGATCCTGCAGCACACTGTGTATAATGAGAGAAAAAAAATGAAATCATGATTTTTCGATTAAAACAGCAACTTTGCAGTGTTTTTTCGTATGTTTTTTATAGATGTATTTGCGATTTCTTGGTCTCATTTGATAGAATGGAAGACATATTACAGAAATAGAGATGATTTTGATTGGTTTTAGCACTGGAAATGGCTTGAAACTGAGCTCAAAGTAGCGGAAATGTTAAATTTTTGCCGATATTCAAGAGTAAACAAACGACCTCACACATCTAATACACGTCAGCTGGTGGGTCTAATATACATTCAAATATGGTGATGATATTTATACAATTTTACAGTATTGCATAACAGTAAATCTTCTATTTTTTTGGTGTGAATAAAAATTCATTATGTGAATAAAAAATCAAAATGGAATTTATTTGTAAAGCCTCAAAACATAACTAATGAACAGAGGAAATGTTAGTTTAGTGCCAGGAATGCCTACATTGTTCATTCTGGACCCTATTTTGAACTTTGTGTTAAATTGGCCAAATTAACAATTTCCGATCACTTTATTTTGTAGTTGAAACAGTTGACTTGGCGATTTCTTGTGCTCAATCGATAGAATAGAAGTAATACTAGTGAAATAGCTAAGAATTTGGTTGATTGGAATAATGTAATTGGCCTAAAATGGGAGTCAAAGTCGGCAAAATCGCCGATTCGTAAATATCGCTGACACATCAAAATTCGCGAGAGCATAATTTCGTCAATTTTCCACCAAATTTCGTACTTTTTGTTTTATTACCTTCACAAAAAGATTCTCTACGATTTCATAAGAAAAAATAAAAAATTTTTTTTTTGAAAATTCTTGGACACTGGTGCGTGACTCCAGATTTGGGCCTTGGACCCTGAAAGGGTTAAGGACTTTAGTCCTGAACGTGTCTGTGCAGCCTGAGCCCATGTAAAGCTAGTGTGCCATTGTTTACAAGCCAGGGAGGATGATTCCACGCATACATGTGATATATTTTGTATTATTCCATTGTTTTTAGTGCTTGTAACTGCTAAATAAGCCACCATGGGCCCAAAGAAAGCTTCTAGTGCCAGCCCTGTGGTAAAGAAGGAAAGAAGCACAATAGAATTCAAGAAAAAACTTGTAGCAAAATACCAAAGTGGAGGAGGAAGAGAGAGGGAAGAATGTGCCTTCTGCAGTGATTCAATGATTCTACGATATGTACGATACTAAAGCAGCAGGCATCAATAAAGGCTAT